GAAGTGAGTTTACACTGCTGGGGTGCATTGGCTTGTAATCAGCAACAGCTTGAGATCAAAACGACTGGAAAGTCATTGTGAACTTTTTTTGTCACAGAGATTTCAACTGACTGAACGAGGTACATTTACAAAATTGCACTTGCTGAGGAATATATGGCAGCAATCTAAAGTGGTGATGCTGAGCAGATGTAGAAGAGGCAGCAATCTTTTGGGTTCTCCATTCCGGACTGACGGCTCTTCATCTGTGCAAAAGCAGTCTTTGAAATGCACTGGTTCTTTCACTCTGAAATGCTCCCTGGTTCTACGTACAAATTGCTGGTGGGACTGCACACTACTTTAATCAAATTTATGTTGCAGAACTTGTCCTCTGGCATCACGCAGCTGTAGACATTTTTATTTGTATTTCTACTCTTGGACCTCTGAAAGGCTACATGTTTCAACATCTTGAAGTTGCTTTTGTTATAGGAATGGAAATATATATCCATTGTTAATAATTATTGTTGACAAGTAATAGTTATCAGAATACATCAATCATATAAGAATGTATAGCCAACCTGACATGTTTCCCTAAGGCTAACCGACTACTGTAGCTCTTTGGCAGTTTCATTATAAGTATTTTATACCTTTAAAATATACATTTCCATTTAGTTTGAAGATGATGGGTGTTTCTGGTATGTCCTTTACTTTCTTAACCTTAAGTCCTTCCAAGTTGACAGTAAGCAGTAAATGACATTAGCTAGTCCTTTTTTGTAAAGGTAGACAGGGATGCATGCAAGTTTTACAATTCTGAGATTGGATGGCATTAATTCAGAGTTTCTTTTAGTAATTTTTTTTTAAATTATCTCTTGCTTGAACACAAGTACTATCTGATGCTTATGTAGATGTCTGCTCAGCCTGTTGATAAGAGGAAAAAATATATTTTACCCCACATCTGCAATTCATCAATGTTTTGCTTACAGTTATGCAGGCCAAGCTTCTTGTCCTTTTCATAGTCATTTCCACAAATTTACATTTTTTTCGTATTTTCTACTCCTGTAGCATTTTTGCAATGTGCTGTTCTATGAAAACCCTTCATATTTAAAGGCCTTAAATATATATGAACATTATTTCTAAGTTATTACAGAATGTATAATTTTATACTCCATTTAATGTATCCAGTACCAATGGTAATGCTAAGACAAAGGAGCTCTGATACTTCATTGTTGTGCTGTATTGATGCTGTCTAAGCATGCTGACTAAAGAGAGAGTTATCGAGTATGCTTTTTGTCTAAATAGAGACAAAGACCATAGAATCTCCGACCTCAAAATAATTCTGTAGGCAGTCTCATTCCAATAGCCTGCATGGTTACCAGTATCTTTAAAAAAAGGGGGAAGACTTTTTATAGTTACAAGCCATTGACATGGCTAATTAGCTATAAATTGGGTTCCCCATGATGGATAAACACCTTGGAGTGCTCTGCTTTGTCACAGTATCCTAGGATCTTCCAAAACTATTTCATCACCTCTCCCATATTATTGCACAGGAGAACTAAAATTTAATGATTGTTAGGAATAATTTGAGATGCATATTTTATCATTGTGCTGCATAATAATAAAAATGTTGGCAGGGAAAGATTCTTTTCTGATTAAAATTTAATTTGGATAAACTATAGCACCAATAGCTAGCTCAGTTTTTTCAAATGGATTAATATTGTATGGATTTGTGCTAAAAGAACATCTTAAGGAGAAAAATAATTCTTTGGAACAGTATAAATTATAACTGTGTAATTTTGTAGAATATGAGTTTAGCCTTAATCTGGTCAAAATACTGCATCATGCTTCTCAGTGTTTGTTTCCTTTTACTTTGTTCTCAAGATCAACACTGAAAATACTGTATTATATACAAGTGTAACACATGCTTATCAATAGGTGAAAATAAATGGATTTTCAAATATATTGAATAGATTATTTGCAGTAGATTAATGTTGTGACTATTTATAACAAGTGAATAAAATTGTGATATCTACTTGAGTCCCCTGTATGGATATGCACTTAGAAGCTTGGTTCTGTTCACCCATAGAAAAATGGTTTTTATCACCAGTGGAAAAAATGATCATGGGCTATATTGATTTCATGTTTCTTTAGAAAACACATAGAACAAATTATACCATTTTCAGTTTTTGAGAAGGAAGGAGTTTGAAGAGATATGTTAGCATATTCTTCTGACAAACACTGTCATGTTTCAAATGATAAATATTAGAGTTGACCAAAATTCAGAATTTCCATTCTGTGGAAAACTCTGACATACAAGCATGTGGTTTGGGGAAAAAATATTACAATTTTTTACAGATGGGAAATTCTGAAAAAAAAAATCAATTTTTTTGACCAAAATAAAGCATTTAGACATTACCAAAAAAAATGTTGTGCTTGGGTCTGTTGTTCTGAGCCCAAACATTTTCTTATGTATCAATTAAACACTAAATTGCATTATCTTATTGAGGCACATTGCCTCATGGGAGTTATTGATTAAAAGCCTGATGTCCCAATTCTCCCACCTCCACTCACATGGACTAGGCTCCCTGTTTGAACCGTATCTCCTGAATCATGTGACTCACACCATGCAGCTTAGTCTCAGGGGAAATCTAACTTTCACTATGGAAAATGGAGTCCTCCAAAGACTCCAGCCATATGAAAGAATGGGGACCAAATTATAATGCCCATAAAGCAACATTCAGGTAAGGAAATACTCCTTAATACAGGCAGTCCCCGGGTTACGTACAAGATAGGGACTGTAGGTTTGTTCTTAAGTTGAATCTGTATGTAAGTCGGAACTGGCGTCCAGATTCAGCCGCTGCTGAAACTGATCAGTTTCAACAGTGTCCAGCCATATGAAAGAATGGGGACCAAATTATAATGCCCATAAAGCAACATTCAGGTAAGGAAATACTCCTTAATACAGGCAGTCCCCGGGTTACGTACAAGATAGGGACTGTAGGTTTGTTCTTAAGTTGAATCTGTATGTAAGTCGGAACTGGCGTCCAGATTCAGCCGCTGCTGAAACTGATCAGTTTCAACAGTG